TTTTTTTTTTTTTGGTGCTGGGTATTGAACCCAGAGCCCCACATATGTTAGATAAGCACTCTACCACTGAGCTGCACTGCCAGCTCCAATATACGTTTTTAAATTTTATTTCTTCTAGTTGAATTCTAACCTACAGATTGGAAAACCATATCATTAAAACCATTTAACAGATTACAATACTAACATCAATTTCTGTAAAGTTAGTGGAAAACAAACTATATCCCTCTATCACAGTTCAGTATATTTAATGATTAATGGATACTAGAAGTATTATTTTTTATCTTATGAACATAGACTCACAAAGACTATGTTCAGAACATTTTTGAGTCAGGGATGTTGGTGTATGCCTTTAGTTTCAGCACTTGGGAGGCTGAGGCAGGAGGATCATGAGTGTGAGGCCAGCCTGACTCTACACACCAACTTCAAGGCCACCTTGACTACATAGTAAGATCCTGTCTGAAAACAACCTAAGCAAACCAAGGTATTCAATGTAAAAGGGCAGTTATAGTGATGATGATTTTTATTATCTAATCAATCTCAATTTAAAAAGAATATTCTAGCTTTGAAAAAATCTAAGTCATAAACAGGAGAATTTGGATTTCTTTATATGGGAGCACTCTGAAAAATGTAAAAGGTATAATACAAACTTAAGTGGAATACTGAACAATAAATCTAAAGCATATAATACAAGGTCAGTGAAAAGAACATAAAATTTTCCTATTAAAGTAAAAAATGTATAGCTTTTATATAGAAAGGCCTATACAAAATATCCAAAATTGAAATGGTTTCTGTTTTAAATAAAATATTATATATATTATAAACAACACAAAAAAGCATACTTACAAAGCAACAAAGAAATTTATCCTGGTATGCTCATTTATAGTAAATTTAGCTCTCTTGAAATAAACAAAGGTCATAGCCAAAAGATACTATAAGAAAAAAAGTTAGAAATTAATATTGTTGCTTTCATAAATAAAACTGCATTTAATAGTTTTCTGATGAATAAACGAATAAAGGATTCTCTATCCTTATTACAGAATCATCTATTAAACGCTTTTGTTTTCTGTAATTAATCCATGCAGTGAGAAATAGTTCTTGATCACTGATTAAAATTAATTAGATGGACTCTTGCATATTATGATAGCCAATAAAGTTTAAAACCTCACTTTTGGGCTGGGGATTTAGCTCAGTGGTGCTGCCTTTTGCCTCGCAAGTGCAAGGACCCAAGTTCGATCCCTGGTACCAAAATAAATAAATAAATAAACAAGTAAATAAAACTTCACTTTCAAAACTAAAATGTCAAACCTATAGAAAGCCGAAATAACAGTAAAATGAATAATCACACTCACCTCTATTCATATTTGCAGTATTCGTTTGGTATCTTTATGTATGTATACACATACATACATACATTCAAACCCTTTTAGTTACAGACATCTACACTCACTTTCTTTTTTCTTTTTTAGCAGGGTGCTACTATTTTGTGGAAGGCTGTTCTGGAACTCCTGGACTTATGTGATCCTTCCACCTCAGCCTTCCAAGTGTTTGCACTACAGGCACATGCCACCATGCCCAGTCACACTCACTCTTTCTTTTAATGTGCTGGAGACTACACCCAGGACTCATGAATACTAAGCACATGTTGTACCCCAGGTCCTATACCAGTGGCGGCAAACCTATGGAACATATGTTCTCTTGTGTTTTCAAGACAAAATATGTTAATGTATGGGTTGTTTTTTCCTAGACTAAAACCTCAGCAGTTTAATTCCAGTGTTGGCACTTTGCACTAAGTAAATGGACGTTGGGTTACAGTTTGGCACTTGGTCTCTTAAAGGTTTACCTTGCTAGGCTAGAACATACCACTGAGCTACATCAACCCAGTCATTTAATTTCATTTCAACAGGATCTTGCTAAGCTGCCCAGGCTGACTGACTTCAAACTTGTTATCCTTTGCTTCAGCCTCCCGAGTAGCTGGTATTACTGGCATAGGAGCCTGGCTCTGTACTCGGTTTGTTTTTCCTTTTCTTTATATACACACTTTAAAAAATAATCTTTACAAACTGCTTCTAAATAACTTCAGAAATTAGAATAATGGGTTTATTTGCATAGGGAAAACACATTTTAGATGTATTATTAGAAAGATACATGCCTGTTACTAGAATACATGGCAAGTTCTGACTGTTCACATTAGAAATAAGTTGCAATGTTAATGTATTATTTTCTTTCTCATAAAATACTTATCCTATAGTCACAGTAATGGTTTTCACAATTTCCAGTATTCTTTGAAGTGTTGATACAGTACTCCTAGCTACTTTTCAAACATTGCCCCCTGCTGTTCAATGACTTCATTGTGTTTATAACTTTGTAAAAATTTTTTATTGGTACATTTTAGGTATATAATATGACATTCATCACTGGAAATTTGTACCTTTACATATCTTGGTTCTTATTTTATCCCCATTCCCCTGCCCTCCCTTCAACCCCTTCAACCCTCTCTATTTATAAAGACTTTGTTTCCATTTTTTCCTTTTCTCCTATTAATTCCATTCCCTTCTTTCCTTTCTCCAACCATTCCCATTTCCCCTTTCCCTTTGGACCTTTTCTTCCTATTTCACATTATCTACTATACTATATTGATCCTTACTTACACTTTCAGTTTCTCACACCAGGGAAACTATTTGGTATTTACACGTGTGTCCTATTTATTTCACTTTAAGAATATTGCCTCAATGTGCCTCCATTTAACTATGTCTCTAATCTATCATTCTCTATGGCTAAGTAGTACTCCATTTTATTAAAAAAAATACTTTTTCTTTATCCAGTCTCCAGTCGACAGGCAATTGGGCTGTTTCCAAGTCTTAGCTATTACAACCTGTGCCGTTATAAACATGTATGCACATATATCACTGTGATATGATTCTTTTAATTCTTTTGGGAAGATACCCAGTAGGGGAATACCTGGGTCAAATGGAACCTCTAATCCTCTTTTTTTTTTTTTTTTTTTTTTTTTTTTTTTTTTGATGG